TGTCTTGCTGATTTTAATCCACCGGAGGGAAGCCAGATTTTGAGCTATGTGGATGACATTTTGGTGGCGTCTAAGACAGTTGAGAGCTGTAAAAAAGATACTATAGCTTTACTGAAACACTTGACTAAAACTGGCAATAAGGTCAGCAAAAATAAAATACAGTTATGGAAGACAGAAGTTAAATACCTAGGTCATACATTAACCAAAGATGGAAGGTTAATCCATGGGGAAAGAAAAGCTTCTATTTTAGCTGCACCCAGACCCCAAACTAAAAAACAGATGATGTCATTTTTGGGGTTATGTAATTATTGCCGGCAATGGGTAGCTAATTATGCAGAATTAGTAAGACCATTACAAAATTTAATTTTTGAAAAGCCAATGACACCTAAAGAAATCATTCATTGGACTGATGAAGCAGTCAAAGCCTTTAGCAAAATTAAAGGAATTATAGCTAGCTCAACAGTTTTAGCTTTGCCGGACTACTCTAAGCCATTTGAACAGACAGTTGACTGTAAAAATGGATTCATGACATCAGTGTTGACTCAAAAATGGGGGTCAAAACAAAGACCAATTGCTTATTATTCTTCAAAGCTTGACCCGGTGGCCAGAGCGACTCCAGTGTGTGTCCAAGCGGTTTTGGCTGCAGCATTAGCTGTCCAGGCATCTGCTGAAGTTGTTCTGTTTCACCCATTGACCTTGAAAGTACCACATGCTGTGTCAATGCTACTTTTGTAAACAAGCATGACATTCCTATCACCAGCCCGTCACCTTTCCTGCATGACACTTCTACTGTCACAACCACATGTGACCGTAGAAAGATGTCATACAGTAAATCCATCTACTCTAATTCCAACAGAAGGAGATGGCACTGCACATGATTGTGTTCAAGAAGCATATAAAGACTTCCGTCCAAGACCTGATATAAAGGACATGCCACTCTCTGGGGGAATTACAGTGTTTGTTGATGGCTCAGCAGGGAAAGATGAGTTTGGGAAAAATCATGTAGGATACTCGGTTACCACTGTGGATAAAACAATTGAAGCAAAAGTACTTCCAAGTAACTTATCTGCACAAGCAGCAGAATTAGTAGCTTTAACAAGAGCTTGTGAATTGCATAAAGATAAGAAATTAACGGTGTAAACTGATAGCCAATATGCATACGCTACAGTTCATTTGTTTTGTCAACAGTGGAAACATCGTGGTTATAAAACTTCTGCGGGAAAAGATGTAAAACATGCAACATTATTAAAGAATTTACTCAAAGCAATAATGTTGCCACAGCAGCTTGCTGTATGTAAATGTGAAGCTCACACGCGAGGGACAGACAAAGTGTCAACAGGAAATGACACAGCTGATAAAGCTGCAAAAGAAGTAACAGGATTACTGCTTAGTGAAGAAACACAAGATTCTGACGATCTTTTAAAAGAAATGCAGCAACAAGCGCCAAAAGCAGAAAAAGAGAAATGGCTTAAAGAGGGAGCTATATTCAATGGGAGTTTGTACATGGGTCCAAACGATAAGCCAGTTCTACCTAAATCAATGTTTAAATGGGCGGCTTTAGTGAGCCACGGAGTAACCCATGTTTCTTCTGCAAGTATGTGTGGATTGGTGAATAAATATTACACAACATATGGGTACAATTTATACTCAAAACATTTTTGTAATCAGTGTGTAATCTGTATAAAACACAATTCACAAGGAAATATGAGACCAAAAAGGGTGGTATTTCCTAAACCCACACATCCTTTTGAAGAAATCCACATGGACTTTATCCAGTTAAATAAAGTGAATAATTTGGAATATTGCCTCGTGATTATTGATGCATTTTCCAAATGGGTAGAATTGTTTCCTTGTCACTCTCCGGACGCTCTAACAGTGGCTAAAGCAATATGTAAAAGAATTGTGCCAACATTTTCGATTCCCAGAGTTATCAGGAGTGACAATGGAACACATTTTGTAAATGATGTGATTGATAAGGTGGGAAAAAATCTCAACATAAATCTAAAAAGACATTGTAGCTACCATCCACAAAGTGCAGGTTTAGTTGAAAGAAATAACGGCACTATTAAAGCTAAATTGAGGAAATGCATGGAGGAAACAAACAGACAATGGCCTGAATGCATAGACTTGGTACAGTTAAGCATGCATATAACACCTACTCAGGGTAGTGCATTGACACCATTTGAAATATTATATGGTAGGTCATACACACTTCCAGATTTACAGCCAAATAAGCAGTTCTCTCCTGATGATAATCCTACGTTGGCTGACTATATGAGAAAAACATTATTGACTAGAGCGTGTCAAGAAACAAATAATGTTCCGAGTCAACCATTTTGTGCACAGGAGCTGCCTGTTCGAGTTGGAGACTGGGTGTTTTTTGAAAGTCATCAAACGAAAGTCCTGGTCCAGTCCACGGTGGGAAGGTCCGCATCAAGTGCTTCTGACGACACCCACTGCTGTGAAGATAGCAGAAAGGCCCACGTGGATTCACCTCTCACACTGCAAAAAGAGAGATCTGAGAGATCTTGTGTCAACCACAGCGGAGGGGAAGGCTGACCTACAAAGGGGGGCAGACGTGCTCGTCTCAACAGTCAGTGAAGCAGGGAGATCCTCCAGTGGTTTAATGCACAAGAAACACAGTTTGTACAACTTGATGATGTGCTAGTAACCTCTCATCTTGTGATATTGGTGAATTGGACTGTTTCAAAAAGGACTGTTTACAAGATGGTCTTCAAAGTATTCTCCACTCGACATGGACTTCGATGCAGTAGTGGTCTAATAATGCTGATTACATTGATAGTTATTGTGGTTCCATCACTGCTCTGGTGGGGGAGTCAACAATATAACAATGTCAAGCGTACAGCTAGAGCAGAAATAGATGTAGATCACTATAAAGACAACTACTGGTATCGCATGGCTGAAATAACGGCTCAGGCAAACAATATGTCAGATTGTTATGTTTGTGCATTTGTTCCTCATCATTCAAATTCAAATCCTTATATAACACCACATCCAGTCTCAGCTTTAACAACTATATGCACTATGGCTTTTTATACCTTACATTCAATTGGCATGAACTACTCTAAATATGTGGAATGGCTGCCAAACTGTACTACTCTTTCAATTCAAAAGGTAGCAGATTGGAGAGTTCCATTGAACTTCTCTTTAAGTACAAATATGACTAATGAGAAAGGTGTAACTGTGGCTCGATTTCCAGCCAATTCTCCTCTGTGTCTGAGTAGGAAATGCAATGTGCCGGGGCCCTGGGAGGATGCTAACCAATATGTAGGAACATCCACCTGTGATGATGTTCTGCCTATTGCCACATATAACCAACAAACCTCTGAGGTACACCACAGGTTATACTTCACTACTACTCCGACCGCACGGGAGTTCCCAGTGATTAATTTCACTAAAGTGGGTGAGGTCAGTGGAGTGGCCAACTGGCACTCATACCCAGCTTTTTTGGTTGAGGTCCCGGGTTTTTGGGGCTATCCATGCCCGTCAAACCAGGTGTGGGTTTGTGGAGATAAAGTGTATCTGTGGCTTCCAGAGAGATGGTGTGGAACTTGTCATCTGGCCACCCTAGGTCCGGCCTCCTACATCATTTCAAGTGATAACTTGACACAGCACTTGGGCCAGAGGCAGAAAAGGGCTGCTGCCACAGCGGCCAGAAGCCCACCTTTAATCTCAGATGTAAGAGGAGTGTTCATGACAGCCCTTCCCATGTATGGAGTTGCTTATTTAAGTCATAGGATGAATGATATTGCATGGAATTTGGAGAATTTGACTAATATTGTCACGGACCTCACTGAACAAATCAGGGGAGATCCAGAGAAGGAGGCTATGCGTCAAATGATCATGCAGAATCGAGTAGCATTAGATTTTGTTTTATCGGAAACTGGTGGTGTGTGTCAGTTAATTAAGGATCATTGTTGTACGTTCATTCCATCATCCAACTCAAATTATTCACTAATTTTGGATCGGCTAAAAAGTCTTAAAACTGAGATGCTAAGTGAGCGAGACAATGACAACATGAATTGGGACTTATTGTCATGGTTTTCTACTGGAGCATGGTGGCAACTGATATTGAAAATAGCGACACCTGCAATAATGATTTTGGTTTTATTTTGCATATTTGTCACATGTGCTAAGTCTTTAACCAACAGAATGATTAACACTGCAGTTGCAGACACATTGTTTTCGGATCAATGTCAAGCGTTGTTAGCTCACACAAATGTAAATGATGATTTTGATATTTCTGTATAAGTGTAAGTTTGTTATGAAGGTATTGCAGAAAACTGAGAAGAGATGTAATGCTGGATGTTGAAACTTTACATTTATATATTATGAATAGGGGGGAATTATGTCAATGAAGTATGTTATTGTGTTATTATCATATTAATAAATGTAACGTTTAGTCTAGTATGGATCTAAAAACTAGTAGTAAGCAGAGTGAAGAATGTGTGAAACCATCCCCCAGCCATGAAACACAGGAAGTTAAATTAAGGCAAGAACACAAGAAAGCATCTGTTTAGAGTAGCCTCAGGCTTACTTACACAGGGGCTATTTGTGTGTCCTGAACAGAAAAGAGGTATTGTCTTCACCTAAGGATGTTGGGACATATGTCTTCAATTATCATGTCATGTGACTGTGTGCTTATCATCGATAGCCTGTTCCTGAAGCAGGGTTCTTTTGCTTTGGGTTTGCCAGGGAGAGAGCCCAGACTGGAGCACCAGTCTGCTACATTTGTCTGTATCCTGTATCCTGTATTCTGTCTTTTATATATTAAACCTTTTTTTATATATCTAAGCAGAATTTGTACTGTCCATTCATAATCGAAGGATAAACCGTGGCTGAACCAGCGTTAACATTTATGTTTCTTTAGATCAATTCAATTCAGAACTTTGAGTTCAGAAAAAATAACAAAAAAGTTGAACAAATAATAAATAAATAAAAATAACATAAAAAACACATGTTTTTATTTATAGTTTGTCATGTTTTTATTTCAGAATCAATCTCAGACGCTTCAAGAACAAGAGACTCTTCTGCTGTTCCTCCTCATCCCTGTGGGTCACAGACGTCGTCCCTGCGGGTCAGAGACATCGTCCCTGTGGGTCACAGACGTCGTCCCTGCGGGTCAGAGACATCGTCTCTGTGGGTCACAGACTTCGTCCCTGCGGGTTACAGGCGTCATCCCTGCGGGTCAGAGACGTCGTCCCTGCGGGTCAGAGACGTCGTCCCTGCGGGTCACAGACGTCGTCCCTGCGGGTCACAGACGTCGTCTCTGCGGGTCAGAGACGTCGTCCCTGCGGGTCACAGACGTCGTCTCTGCGGGTCACAGACGTCGTCCCTGCGGGTCACAGACGTCGTCTCTGCGGGTCACAGACGTCGTCCCTGCGGGTCACAGACGTCGTCCCTGCGGGTCAGAGACATCGTCCCTGCGGGTCAGAGACATCGTCCCTGCGGGTCAGAGACAACGTCCCTGCGGGTCAGAGACAACGTCCCTGGTCAAAACTCGTCACACTACTCTAGAGTGGAATTCGGTGTGCCTCAGGGATCGGTACTCGGACCGATTCTCTATATATGCTCTATATACACTCTATATGCTGCCACTATCAACCTCATTAAAAAGCATGGAATAAAATCCACAGCTTGAGATGACACACAGCTGCAGACACAGCTGCAGACACTGCTGCAGACACTCGATAATGTCAGCATTGAACCAGCCAGTCTGTGAGGAATCTTGGAGTCATTTTTGACGAAGAACTCTCCCTCACGGCCGATATAAACCAAGCAACTAAAACGGCGTACTTCCACTTGCGGAACATTTGCTAAAATCAGGAATATCCTTCCTAAAAGTGACGCGGAAAAACTAATCCACGCCTTTGTCACCTCAAGGCCTGACTGTAGCGCCCCCTGCTGGAAGTGTGCCCTAAAACCTCTTTGAAGAGCTTCCAGCTCGTTCAGAATACAGCAGCTCGGATCTTAACAGGTACCAAAAGGAGGGAGCACATAACTCCGGTGTTAAAATCACTCCACTGGCTCCTGTGGAGTACAGAATAAAGTTTAAAATCCTTCTCTTAACAAACAATTTATCACATGTGTGACATTTATCAACATGTGTTCTATATTCTTTTTGTGTTTAACTGTTGATTCTCTGATCTGTGATTTCATTGGTTTTGTTAAGTCTCTGAGAGGATGCTGTTGTGATTTATGGAAATACAAGAATAAATTGTTTTGTATTGTCCTTGTGGGTCAGAGATGTTGTAACTGAAGAAGAAGAAGAAGAAGAAACTTTATTTATATAGCACCTTTCACAGATAAAATCACAAAGTGCTTCACAGGGGCACAACAATAAAAGTTACAGAGCAATATTAAAACAAATTAATTAAAACAATCACAGCCTTTTCAACTAAAAGCTCGTCCAAACAGCCATGTCTTCAGCTGTTTTTTAAAGGAATCGACAGTGTCGGTCACACGTAGCGACAGAGGAAGGGCATTCCACAGTTTAGGAGCAACAACTTCAAAGGACAGGTCACCTCTGGTTTTAAAGTGGGTCCTTGGGACAGCAAGGAGGTTCTGACCCGAAGACCTAAGGTTGCGACCGGAGGAGTAAGGGCACAGCAGGTCAGACACGTATTTGGGAGCCTGACCATTCAGCGCTCTAAAAGTCAATACTAAAATTTTGAAATCAATTCGAAATTTGATGGGAAGCCAGTGCAGAGAGGATAAAATAGGAGTAATGTGTGACCGTCTGCTAGAGCCTGTTAAAAGCCGCGCAGCAGCATTTTGAACCATTTGAAGACGATTCAAAGCAGATTTGTTAAAACAAGTAAAAAGGGAGTTACAATAATCTAAACGAGACGAGATAAAAGCATGAATCACCAATTCTAGATCAGATTTGGATAAAATTAGCCTCAACTTGGCAATGTTTCTCAAATGGAAAAAACAGTTTTTGGCCAAGTGTCTCGAGTGGCGGTCAAGAGACAGAGACTGGTCAAACCAAACACCAAGATTTCTGATGCTCGACTGAACCGAGGAGCCCAGAGAACCAAGGTGGTTTACAATTGAAGGAATTTTTTGCTCCGGAGCAATTATCAAAGTCTCAGTCTTTTTAGAATTCAACTGAAGGCAGTTTTCACGAAGCCACGACTTTACACTTGAAAGACAATCCATTAACTCTGACAGTCTGTGCAACTCTGACTCCTTAAACGAAAAATACAGTTGGATATCATCAGCATAGAGATGGTAAGAAACATTTTTAAAACGGCTAATGGTTTTTCCAAGGGGGCTGATGTACAACAAAAACAAAATAGGTCCCAAAACAGATCCCTGAGGAACACCGTGTAACAAAGGAGTAGCTTCAGACATAATGTTATTTATACACACAGAGAAAGTTCTGTTGGTCAAGTAGGACGATAACCATTTAAGGACAGTTCCAGAAATGCCAAAGTCAGTATTGAGCCTCTGTAGCAGTAATTTATGATCTACAGTATCAAAAGCTGCAGACAAATCAAGCAGGATCAATACAGAAAACTGACCAGAGTCAGCAGCCATTCGGATGTCGCTGGACACTTTTAGTAAGGCAGTCTCAGTAGAGTGCATCTTACGGAAGCCCGATTGAAATTTATCAAACCTTTCATCTTTTTGGAGAAAAGCAGACAACTGTTCTGCTACCACCTTTTCCACAACTTTGGAGAGAAATGGTAATTTTGATATGGGCCTGTAATTGCCAGGCTCAGCTGGGTCCAAATTGGGCTTTTTTAGGATAGGACTTATCGCTGCCTGTTTAAAAAAGTTTGGAACAGACCCAGACATAAGAGAACCATTTGTCAATTCAACAACATGTGGGGCAACAATGTCAATGACCTTATAAAATAAAGTTGTGGGTATGATATCAAACGGACAAGAGGAAGGTTTCATTTTTTTCAGTAACATCATAACATCCTCTAATGCAGGGGTGCTCAATACGTCGATCGCGATCTACCAGTCGATCGCAAAGGTAGTATTGGTAGATCGCATTAAATAAATAAAAAATTACACATTCTAAACTAATATATACAAAAAACTCCGGGCAAAGTGGAGATTTTTGAAAACTCCGTTAATGCATTTGTGTGTAGACAGAGATAATCGGAGTTTTGCGTTCTCGCACGCCACAGTACCCCCCTAAATTCCTCTGATCACTGAAGCATGGATCATACTACCTTAAAAACTGTCCGCTGTGAGATGCTCGCAGCAGCGAACATCCTCCACATCAGAGAGCAGCAAAGTGATCGCGGGGACTCACGCTTGAAAACAACTAAACCAGGACTAAACCAGGACTAAACCAGGACTAAACCAGGGCTGAGGACGGGGTCAGTGCTTGTAAACATACGTCTTTACTCTGAGTGTCTTCTATGACTGTAAAAGTGCCGTTACCGGCGTCTGCATCAAAGCTCCGCCCACTTCTGTGTTTTTCCCCAACGCAGGACAGGACGTAAGAGACGCACATGTTTGGAATGTGATTGATAACGCAGATGTGTGGATGCAAATTATTTTATAAACGGAGGAGGGGAAATATTTGGATTTAAATAAACCAGGCATGGCACATGGACATGGCACCACAGTCAAATGACATCTGTGTTTTACTCAGTAATGTTTTACTGACACTTAGGTGACTGCACATGCGCAAACAACCGCGCTCAGTGCAGGAAAGCTAAACCACGACAAACTTGTCAGCGAGTTACCACCAATTTTCCGGACTATGCATCCCTGGCCGATTCAATTCAGTGCAAGTCATCAGAGTAAACTCGGGTAATGACAAAAAATGTACATAGGTAATTGTGTTGTGTTGTGCTATATTGGCTCATGCGGTTTTGCATGTACATAAACATATATTGTAGGTATAAAGAATATTTTTTGAAATAAATATATGATTTGCATTTTTGTAGTAGGTAGATCATTTTGACTTGATCCTTTTATAAGTAGCTCGCATGCTGAAAAAGTGTGAGCACCCCTGCTCTAATGTCACAGTAGAAAACACAGACCAAGAGCAATCAGTAGAAATAACATTAATGGTGTTTGAGTCAGGCGGTTTCACATTTGCCCTGATCTCATCCACCTTGTTCACAAAGTAATCCAAAAATCTGTTACAGTCATCAATTGAGAAGACAGGCACCGGAGGAGACGAAGGTGAAACGATTTTATGAATTGTATCAAAAACAACCTTAGGATTTCTCCTATTTCTGTTCACAAGATTTGCAAAATAAGTAGATCTTGCCCGTTTTATCATTTCATTTAGAGATACAATCAAGTCCTTCAAATGTAACCTGTGCACCTCTAATTTTGTAGATTTCCATAAGCGCTCTACCTTACGACAAGATCTCCTAAATGAAGAAATTTCATCATTTAGCCATGGCTGGGAATCTTTTGAGGAAACAACTTTAAGCTTCACAGGTGCTACTATGTTCAGCACTGACTCACAGTGGTCATTGAAGGAGGGGTCATTGAACTGTGGGTCAGAGACTTAAAGGTGACCTGTGAGTGACCGCGGCTCCAGGTTTAATTAGAATCTGTGGAAACAAACACACTGTGGATCAGACCAGCTAAAGACAGACCTGAGGCCGCCTGCCAAGACCCAGACCAAGACCTGAGGCCGCCTGCCAAGACCCAGACCAAGACCTGAGGCCGCCTGCCAAGACCCAGACCAAGACCAAGACCTGAGGCCACCTACAAAGACCCAGACCAAGACCTGAGGCCGCCTGCCAAGACCCAGACCAAGATTTGAGGCCACCTGCCAAGACCCAGACCAAGATTTGAGGCCACCTGCCAAGACCCAGACCAAGACCTGAGGCCACCTGCCAAGACCCAGACCAAGACCAAGACCTGAGGCCACCTACAAAGACCAAGACCAAGACCTGAGGCCACCTGCCAAGACCCAGACCAAGACCAAGACCTGAGGCCACCTACAAAGACCAAGACCAAGACCTGAGGCCACCTACAAAGACCAAGACCAAGACCTGAGGCCACCTACAAAGACCAAGACCAAGATCTGAGGCCACCTGCCAAGACCCAGACCAAGACCTGAGGCCACCTGCCAAGACCCAGACCAAGACCAAGACCTGAGGCCACCTACAAAGACCAAGACCAAGACCTGAGGCCACCTACAAAGACCAAGACCAAGACCTGAGGCCGCCTGCCAAGACCCAGACCAAGACCTGGTACAGCAGGAGGAGGCAGCAGGAGGAGCAGCATATTTGCTAAAGTTTCTGAGATTAAAGAAGGAACAGAAACACTTTGATCAGAACAAAACCTTTGAAATCCACAGATGACCCAAGAATCTGTGTCTGTCAGTCACAGATCAGAGAGAGTCTTTCTGTTGAAATGAGAAATTAAAATGTTTTCAGTATTTCAGTAGTATCAGTTTGATGAATGAACACAATGCACTTGAATCGGTTTTAGCAAATACTTAAATTAACGTATTGGTATCGGTTTTGAAAAAAGTGTGTATCTAAGTAAGTAATGTTTATATATATAGCGCCTGTCACAGACCAGAGCCACACAGAGATGGGAGGGGCCGGTACAGGAAGCCACTCCCAGAGGGAGTTTGGGGTTTCAAGGAGATTGATCACGTTAATGCTCTCCAGAATAGAGCTATTAGAACATTTTTGGGAGTGCATAAATTCACCCCAATACCAGCGATACAGGGGGACATGGGATGGGAGCCGTGTCTCATTAAGCAAAGGGCTGAAATGGTGCGATTATGGAACCGCCTCATCCAGCTTCCCAATCACAGGCTCACAAAAAAGATTTTTATTTGGAATTGTTCAAATAATTACCCCTGGTCTAGAGAAATGGCAGAAGTATTCTTAAGTTCTCATTTAAATTATGTTTATTTAAATAAATTAAGATGTGATATAAGTTTGTTTAGACAAAACGCATTAACAGAGTTTAAAGCACAATGGAAACTTGATATTTGCAGGAAACCTAAGTTAAGACATTATATTTTATTCAAACAGGAGTTTTACACAGAACTGTACGTACAGTTAAATGTACCGAGAAGGCAGCGCTCTCTGTTAGCCCAGCTGAGGACCGGCACTTTGAAGGCAGCGCTCTCTGTTAGCCCAGCTGAGGACCGGCACTTTGCCTTTAGCAGTGGAGGTAGGCCGCTTTAAAGCGGTTCCTGAAGAGGCCCGTCTCTGTACAGTGTGTGACCTGGGGGTGGTAGAAGATGAGCCTCATTTTGTTTTGTATTGTCCACTTTACTTTGAATATCGAAACATTTTATTTGAAAAAGTGAATGCTTCTAACCCAGAGGTTTTTTGGTGGCCTGAGGGAGAAATTATGAACTGGATGTATTGCCATGAAGTTTTTGCCTTTGCTTCTTTTGTTGCTAAAGCCTGGGAGAGGAGACAACAGATTCTGTACCCTGGATAATGCACCAAATTGTAAATCTTTTTCTGTTTTTCATGTCTGTATATGGTCTGTATATGGTCTGTAGCCATCAGATGTTGTTGTTCAGTGTCATATAAGCCCATGTGGGCTGGGCACTTTTGTGCATGACACTTAAATAAATAAACTCAAACTCAAACTCAAACCCAGAGCCACACAGAGATGGGAGGGGCCGGTACAGGAGGCACAGGCCAACCTTTGCATGTTTTTAGTGGTAGCGGAAACTGGAGTACCTGGAGGAAACCTATGCAGACATGGGGAGAACATGCAAAGGCCCTGTCCCGACCAGGGATTTGAACCCAGGACCTTCTTGCTGACACGCGAGAGTCCTAACCACTCAGCCACCGTCTCTAATAATTTCCTAAAAATATCAACATAGAAATAAACTACATGGGAACAGAAAAGTCACAAAGTTATGAAGAGCAAAAGTGTTCAGTTCAAACAAAAGAGATTCAGAAACACTTCCGTTTGTCCAAAACAGAGACACGTGAACACTGTAAAGAATTTCCTTGTAGAAAAACGGTAACAATCTGGCAAATATGGTTCCAGGGATTTACCGTTTTCTCAACATGGCATTACTTTTACTAATTTTGTCGGTTAAAGACTGTTTCACTGAATCCCATTATGTCTTTGTGATTTCAGGATTTAACTGTTCATTCACAACAAAAACAGATTTATAATGTTAATGTTGTATTTTTACACCATATGTTTCTGTTTCTAATTAGTTTCATTGAACAAATAACTACAGTTTAATTTTCTTTTCCTTTAATAAACATAACTTTTCAATTATTTTTGAACATCTTCAGTTTATACAAGACAATAGTTGTAATTATTATTTCTATAACAAGCATCATTTTAACAAAAGCAGAGTGTACGCCTCTTACGCTCATGGTTGATAGCAAATATTTCCCAGTATTCCAAAAATACTAGTTGATGTTAAATTACGGTAATCACGGTGATTTTATGGTACTGTAACGTTTTTTTGTAATCACATTATAATTGTGGTAATAAAACGCCACTGGATGTTTTTTAACCAATTTATACTTGAATTTGCATGTTTGAATTGTTTTTCAAAATAACATTTGTTTAATGAATTTCATTGTGATTTTACAGAAATGTGTTACAGTGAATATAAATATCAACGCTTTATGATAAACAGATAAAACACCAATTAAGGTTGGTTTTGCACACGTCACTACATCACGTGCCCCTGTCGCCGTGAGGACCGTGCGGTCTCTGCTCACGGCACACGGTGATGACATAACCCTGCCACATCTATGTTTGTGTTTACATTCACAGGAGCGGGTTATGAACATTGTGTGCTGTTCTGATCCGTGTCAGTGCGGCTCCGTGCTCAGGGCCATGTTCCAGCACACGGCTTACAGGTCACTAATGTTAGCACTGCGGCGGCTAATGCTCAGATCACCCAGGCTTTAGCACAGCGCTAATCCTGTGGGCCAACAAACCCGGGACATTTGGCCCCGGTCGGCCCTGCCAGCATTGGCCTCGGCCCCGGTGCCAGGGGAAGCTTTAGCAGCAGGGGAAGGCACATTATTATGCAGCCTGTGGAACTTCAGTCTGGTAGATTACCTGCTGCTGCTCATCTAAGCCCGCCCCTTTCACTCTCGGCCAATCACAGTGCTTGAGTGGCCAACCAAAACCATATAAGCTGCTTAAAAGCAGAAACCTCTAAAAACTAACTCTTTTCTATCTCTTGACAAGTTTGTTCTGGCGGTCCTGGGTCTACAGCCTCAGTCCTGGGTCTACAGCTTCAGTCTTGGATCTACAGCCTCAGTCCTGGGTCTACAGCCTCAGTCCTGGGTCTAGAGCCTCAGTCCTGGGTCTACAGCCTCAGTCCTGGGTCTACAGCCTCAGTCCTAGGTCGACAGACTCAGTCCTCTTGGATCTACAGCCTCAGTCCTGGGTCTAGAGCCTCAGTCCTGGGTCTACAGACTCAGTCCTCTTGGATCTACAGCCTCAGTCCTGGGTCTACAGCCTCAGTCTTGGGTCTACAGCCTCAGTCCTGGGTCTACAGCAGCAGTCCTGGATCTACAGCCTCAGTCCTGGGTCTACAGCCTCAGTCCTGGGTCTACAGCCTCAGTCCTGGATCTACAGCCTCAGTCCTGGGTCTACAGCCTCAGTCCTGGGTCTACAGCCTCAGTCATCCGCAGTGCTCTCCTTGAACTACAGCTTTGACTCAAACATATAAGAAGCGAATAAACACATTATTATTACACACGTTTAAAGCATCAGATGTGGAGGTCTGAGCACAGAAACCAGGACCCTGGACTGGTTTGTCTCCCATTGTTTTGGAATCACCGGCCTCAAAACATCTAATCTATTCATGTTCAATAGTCTTCAATATCTCTCTCAGAATCAGAATCAGAATCATTTGTATTGCCACGTCAGTAACAGGAAGTCACAGACTTGGAAATTGCTTTGGCTCAGTGCAACAGTCAGAAAGAGAGGTAAAGGTAAAGAAGGCATAATAAAAAATAAAAATAAAAAGCACTTCTAAGATTCCTTAGAAGTGCTTATTTATTTTTACATTTAAATTTAAAATAGAGTTACAATAAAAATTACTATATACAATATACAAGTGCACATGGTGCACACAATGTAAGGTGACAGCAGTACAGTGAAGTAAAGTTACATTATAAAGAGCAGTAAAGTTACATTATAAAGGGCAATAAAATTACATTATAAAGAGCAGTAGGGGACTTCTAGAGGACGGGGGGACAGGTTAAGAAGTGTTCAAGAGTCCAGAGGGGAAGAAACTGTTCTTGTGGCGGGAGGTTCTAGTCCTGATGGACCGCAGTCTCCTGCCTGAGGGGAGGGGTTGGAACAGTCCATGTGCAGGTGAGAGGGGAGTGGTTGGAATAGTCCATGTGCAGGTGAGATGGGAGTGGTTGGAACAGTCCATGTGCAGGTGAGAGGGGAGTGGTTGGAATAGTCCATGTGCAGGTGAGAGGGGAGTGGTTGGAACAGTCCATGTGCAGGTGAGAGGGGAGTGGTTGGAACAGTCCATGTGCAGGGTGAGAGGGGAGTGGTTGGAATAGTCCATGTGCAGGTGAGATGGGAGTGGTTGGAATAGTCCATGTGCAGGTGAGAGGGGAGTGGTTGGAACAGTCCATGTGCAGGTGAGAGGGGAGTGGTTGGAATAGTCCATGTGCAGGTGAGAGGGGAGTGGTTGGAACAGTCCATGTGCAGGGTGAGAGGGGAGTGGTTGGAATAGTCCATGTGCAGGTGAGATGGGAGTGGTTGGAATAGTCCATGTGCAGGGTGAGAGGGGAGTGGTTGGAACAGTCCATGTGCAGGTGAGAGGGGAGTGGTTGGAATAGTCCATGTGCAGGGTGAGAGGGGAGTGGTTGGAATAGTCCATGTGCAGGTGAGAGGGGAGTGGTTGGAATAGTCCATGTGCAGGTGAGAGGGGAGTGGTTGGAATAGTCCATGTGCAGGTGAGAGGGGTCGGCTGTGATACGACCAGCCCGGCCTCGAGCTCGGGCGACGTACAGGTCCTGCAGCGATGGAAGGCTGCGGCCGATCACTTCCTCTGCAGAGCGCACAATGCGCTGTAGTCTCTGTTTGTCCCTGACTGTGGCTCCAGCGAACCACACGGTGATGGAGGAGGTGATTGAGGAGGTGATGGAGGAGGTGATGGAGGAGGTGATGGTGGAGGTGATGGTGGAGGTGATGGAGGAGGTGATGGAGGAGGTGATGGAGGAGGTGCTGGTGGAGGTGATGGTGGAGGTGATGGAGGAGGTGATGGAGGAGGTGATGGAGGAGGTGTTGGAGGAGGTGCTGGTGGAGGTGATGGTGGAGGTGATGGAGGAGGTGATGGAGGAGGTGATGGAGGAGGTGATGGAGGAGGTGATGGAGGAGGTGATGGAGGAGGTGCTGGTGGAGGTGATGGTGGAGGTGATGGAGGAGGTGATGGAGGAGGTGATGAAGGAGGTGATGGAGGAGGTGATGGAGGAGGTGATGAGGAGGTGATGGAGGAGGTGATGGAGGAGGTGATGAGGAGGTGATGGAGGAGGTGATGGAGGAGGTGCTGGTGGAGGTGATGGAGGAGGTGATGGAGGAGGTGATGGAGGAGGTGATGAGGAGGTGATGGAGGTGATGGAGGAGGTGATGGAGGAGGTGATGGAGGAGGTGCGAACATCTGTGCAGGCAGCTTGGCTTTCCTGAGCTGCCGCAGGAAGTACATCCTCTGCTGGGCCTTCTTGATGAGGAGCTGATGGTCGGCTCCCACTTGAGGTCCTGGTGATGGTGGTGCCCAGGAAAGGAAGGACTCCACAGAGGTGATGGGGGAGTCCATCACGGAGGGTCCATGTTGATGGTTCCATGTTGATATGTTAATGTTTCCATGTTGATGGTTCCATGTTGACTGACAGGAGCAGTTACTACTTAAACCAAACTTTACATAAACTTTGACTCTTTAAACACACATATCACGACACGGAACCATCAAAATGGAACCATCAACACAGAACCATCAACACAAAACCATCAACATGGAACCATCAACATATCAACATGGAACCATAAACATATCAACATGGAACCATCGACATGGAATCATCAACATGGAACCATCGACATGGAACCATCAGCATGGAACCATCAACATGGAACCATCAACATGGAACCATCGACATGGAACCATCAACATCTCACCTCAAATTGCATTAAAAGTGACATTTGTTTCTTAATTGGTTCGTATTTAAACTTTTTACATAATTCGTAGACTTTCTGTCGGCCATCTTTGTTTCGTGTGTTTGTGTGTCTTTGTCTGTGTCTGTGTGTGCGTGCATGGGTAAAATGTGTTTGTTAAAACTAAAAAGGAAGAAACATGTATTGGGCTGAATCTACCGAGAAACATTCATTCATTCAAATTTGACATGGTTTCATAATTTCTAATCTGAATCTGCACATTATATATATATATATATATTAGTGCTGTCCAACAATTAAAATATTTAATCGCGATTAATCGCATGAATTTCATAGTTAACTCGCGATTAATCGCAAATTAGTCACATATTTGTATCTATTCTTTATGTCCCTAGAATTATCATTTTAATACTACTAAAAAGTGAATAGGGGTGCTGTGTGCAATTGCTTTTTTTAATATTTTGTAAATTTTTTCATGTAAATACTCTATGCTGTTTCTCTGTTTACTTTCGGTAAATATCTATGACTGTATACTGTTTGCTTGTATTGCCTTTTTTATTAACCCCTCCCCCCATCTCCCACTTCATGTCCCCCCCCCCCCCCCCCCCTCCTATGTGCCCTTCTGGGTTTCTTCTTTGGCCCCCTGTATCTCCAACTACATATTGTTTGTAATCTCTGTCTACAATGTATCTGAACTAGTCCTTTTCTTTGTTTCTATTTTTTTTTCTGTATATGTGTTTGTCTGCAATAAAAAGTAAAAAAATAAAAATAAAAATTGAATCGCGCGATAAAAAAAATGACGGTGTTAATATTGATTTGCGTTAACGCGTTAATAACGCGATATTTTGGACAGCACTAATATATATATATATATATATATATATATATATATATATATATATATATATATATATATATATATATATATACTAACCTAAACAGTACTTGGGAATAACTCTTGACAGTTTAACCCTTTAGCTTGTAGCTTGTTAGCGGCCGTTAGCTTGGCGCGGCGGACCACAGAGGGCGGCGTGTTTGACGGCCTGTGAAGTGATGGAGGTAACGACGCTGCAGAATGGGATCCTCTTGGGGGGGCTGGGGGGAGGGGAGGGGCAGGTAGGAGGGACGGGGGCCACCTTGACCTCTCGGCGGGGGAGGGGTGAGGAGGGGTGAGTAGGTTAAGCAAACAGGAGGTGGGAGAATAATGTGACCATAATCCAGGCCTTCCACAGAACAGGCCTCAGAGCCTCATCCTGCAGCTCATCAGAGACTGTTGTTATAGGAGAGGGGGGGCTGCACCGCCTGACCCCTGCCCCACCAGGACCAGCACCAGGACCAGCACCAGGACCAGGACCAGCACAGGGACCAGGACCAGCACCAGGCAGGAACAGTATTATTCAGGGTGTAAGGATGGTTTGTTGAAAAATGACAGATATTGAGATGTCTCCTTCGAATGAGGAAATAAGCAACAGTTCTTGAAATAGACTAAATGTTGTATTTCTTGCTTAAACACAGTCAGAATGTGTCAGATTTGATCATTTCTTGCAGTGAACGCACAATAAGCTTTAGACTTGTGTCTGTAAATGTGTCATGGGCAGGTTTTAGCAACAATGATACACAGCCACACAATACTATTACAGTAAGACAACAGTGGCAGGTACACACTCAACACTACACAATATTTGAAAGCCTAAGACTAATGGAAGATCCAGTGGGAGAACACACACAAACACACACAGACATCACGTACACACATCATACACACACACATCACTCACATACACACATACACACATACACACACACAGACATCACTCACATACACACATCACTCACACACACACACACACACACACACACACACACAGACATCACGTACACACATCATACACACACACATCACTCACACACACACACACACAAATACACACATTAGAATAATGCAGAGCAGTCGTCTGTAACTTATGAATGAAATATGAGAGAGGACTGTATATCACTAATGTTTATAATTCATGTCATATTTATATCCACAGGTCATATTACTGTATATATGTATACATCCATAGGGTCTGTGTGGAGTTTTATGAAGGTGGTCCTGCAGCTGTGGACCAGTGGCTGATCCTGGAACAAAATCTGAAATGTCCATCCATCCATCCATTTTCTTCCGCTTCATCCGTTGCCGGGTCGCGGGGGCAGCAGTCTAAGCAGAGACGCCCAGACTTCCCTATCCACACACACTTCCTCCGGCTCGTCCGACCCCAAGGCGTTCCCAGGCCAGCTGAGAGACATAGTCCCTCCAGCGTGTCCTGGGTCTTCCCCGGGGCCTCCTCCCAGTGGGACGTGCCCGGAACACCTCCCCAGGGAGGCGTCCAGGAGGCATCCGGAACAGATGCCCGAGCCACCTCAACTGGTTCCTCTCGACGTGGAGAAGCAGCGGCTCTACTCCGAGCTCCTCCCGTGTGACTGAGCTCCTCACCCTCTCTCTAAGGGAGCAGCCACTCTGCGGAGGAAGCTCATTTCGACCGCTTGTATCTGCGATCTCGTTCTTTCGGTCATTACCCAAAGCTCATGACCATAGGTGAGGGAGGGAACGAAGATTGACCGGTAAATCGAGAGCTTTGCCTTTCGGCTCAGCTCCCTCTTTACCACAACGGTCCGATACAGCTCTGACTGCAGACGCTGCTCCCTCTTTACCACAACGGTCCGATACAGCGACCGCATCACTGCGCACGCTGCACCGATCCATCTGTCAATCTCACGCTCCATCCTTCCCTCACTCGTGAACAAGACCCTGAGATACTTGAACTCCTCCACTTGAGAAAGGACCTCTCCACCCACCTGCAGAGGGCAAGGCACCTTTTTCCGGTTGAGCACCATGGCCTCGGATTTGGAGGTGCTGATTCTCATCCCAGCCGCTTCACACTCGGCTGCAAACCGCCCCAGTGCATGTTGCAGGTCCTGGTTCGTTGGAGCCAACAGGACAACATTGTCCGCAAACAGCAGAGATGAAATCCTGTGGTCCCCGAACCGGACCCCCTCCGACCCCTGACTGCGCCTAGAAATTCTGTCCATAAATACAGTGAACAGAACCGGTGACAAAGGGCAGCCCTGGCAGAGGCAACATGCACCGGGAACAGGTCTGACTTACTGCCGGCGATGCGAACACAGCTCTGGCTCCGGTCCGGACGGCCCTCAGCAGAGGACCCCGGACCCCGTACTCCCAGAGAACCCCCCAAAGGACACCCCGGGGAACACGGTCGAACGCCTTCTCCAAATCCACAAAGCACATGTGGACAGGTTGGGCGAACTCCCATGAACCCTCGAGTATCCGATGGAGAGTATAGAGCTGGTCCAGTGTTCCGCGACCGGGACGAAAACCACACTGCTCCTCCTGGATCCGAGATTCGACCATCGGCCGTAGCCTCCTCTCCAGTACCTTGGAGTAGACCTTACCGGGGAGGCTGAGGAGTGTGATCCCACGATAATTGGAACACACCCTCCAATCCCCCTTCTTGTAGAGAGGGACCACCACCCCGGTCTGCCACCCCATTGGTACCGCCCCGATCTCAGAAATGTGCCGAGCTCAAAACAGTTTAATTTATTCTTCCATCCTACTCATCCCGGACTCAGACTGTAGAACGAGGACTGAGGCTGTAGATCCCGGACTCAGACTGTAGAACGAGGACTGAGGCTGTAGATCCTGGACTCAGACTGTAGAACGAGGACTGAGGCTGTAGACCCAGGACTCAGACTGTAGAACGAGGACTGAGGCTGTAGATCCCGGACTCAGACTGTAGAACGAGGACTGAGGCTGTAGATCCTGGACTCAGACTGTAGAACGAGGACTGAGGCTGTAGATCCCGGACTCAGACTGTAGAACGAGGACTGAGGCTGTAGACCCAGGACTCAGACTGTAGAACGAGGACTGAGGTTGTAGATCCCGGACTCAGACTGTAGAACGAGGACTGAGGCTGTAGACCCAGGACTCAGACTGTAGAACAATGACTGAGGCTGTAGGCGGGTCAGAGAGAGCCTTTTTCTCACTTTTCTCCCTCGGGGTTTTTAGAGTAGTTTCTTCTGGAAATCGGTCCCTGCTCCTCATGGAACTGGATCTATGTTCTATCATTGCTTTTCTTAGGTTTGATTTTCTGATCTGTGTTGGCGAATCGACAGCTTTGTAAAGTCCACAGAGAGAACTACTGCTGTGATTTAGGGCTTTACAAAAACAAATAGAATAGAGCAGAGAGAGTAACACGAGCAGAGATCCTCCTCGGGTTTGGGAGGTTAAGGTTAGGGTTAGGGGGGTTTGGGAGGTGGGA